AATATATGATGTGTAAATAACAGCTGGTGATTGTCCAGCGGACTTCCCATGACTACACCTATTTGTCGAAAATGTTCGCATTCAAATATGAGATGAATTTTATCAGCATACAGTAGTAGCAGCTCTTTCAAACGCTTTGAAGGAATAGGGAAAGAAAAATGACCGAAAGATATATGGTCGCAAAGAATATTAATGGTTTTCATTGGAGGCACGTTAGTAAATAAGTTGTGATCATAGGAGTGCAACCTCTTGTCTTGGATATTAATTTCACTGAGATAATCAGTAAGTTCTGGCGTATTTTTCAAGGAAAGCTTACGTAATTCCTTTCAAATGGGTATTAAATTAAACAACACTTAACCTATTCACCGACACTATTATTATTATTGTTATTATTATTATTATTACTGAAGCTGATTTGTTACGTAGTTACGCACCTGAGTTGAAGAGAACCGTGTTATTGAAGTCGTTATTGTACGCCGGAAATATATTTTCGCAGATTTGCTTGTGACTTTCTAGTCAACCTACTACCTTCTTCCTTCACTGGTTACATTTTACTTTCAGTCATTTTTCTCAAACTTTACTATACTATGGATTCTTCAACTAAAAATATGAATTATTCGTCGTAATCCATGAATTAAAAGTACTACGAAGGATGATTTAACTTAGAGTAATAATAACCGTACAAGTAATTTTAATGCAGAAGGATATTCTTACAGACAAAGTAGGTAAAACTATGAAAAAACACTGACGCTACATAATAACACCAAAAACAAAGGAAGTGAACAGATAGATGTGTAAATGCATTAATGGCATGCGTATAAATCCTATGAGAATAAGTATATTTCCTAACAGAAATGAGACGGATGTGAAAAAGGCTGGTTTTGGCAGATAAGGATATGAAATAAGATCTACTAACCTCTTCCAAATTAAAAAGTTTGAATAGTTTGCTAGTATTCTTACGACCTCAGCATTTCATAAGAAACAAGTTTGAAAACCATATAAAAATATCGGGAAAATGTAGATTATTCTGACTTTATCTGCCATGAGAAATAATGGAGCTGCTTACCGATTTCCTTTATTATTTTCCTCACCTTGAATTTATATACTCACTAATTTACTAGCTGAGTTGGCTGGTTGACGCTACCTCCACATAAGCGGTTGAATTGGTTGGTAAGCACATATCTCAGTGGGAAAATTATGTCAGTTATCTTTTCTCCAAGGCCTAACATAATCTGTTAAATGAAACATTGTACGTGGAGATTTATTACCAGTCTCAAGTTAAAAACATCGCTAGGTATTTCGTTGAAATATAGCTGATTGAACACCAGGTGTTTTAGCATTTCAATTTTCATTTATAATAGAAAGTAACTTTACTGATTAGCCAGTACAAAGTAGCCGATTTCATGTTGTCTAGCCATTCCCAAGTACTGTAATGATGGATTGTGGCTAGCTATGGAATCCAGTATGCTCATTTCCTCCTATTTGGGACCTGTCAGATGGATGTACCTGCCTCCTACAGAGTGTTGTCCTCACTGGGATTCGAACTTGGGACCGCTCACTTCTAACGCCAAAGCGTTATCCACTAGACCATCGAGCCGCGATGGCCACTTCTTGTGCGGCGGGTACAGTTTCAGTGTTATTACTTGTATCATACCGTCGTTGGTTGGGCCTAATTGATCCAGCTGACGAGTCCCAAATAAGACGAAATGTGCATCCTGGATTCCACTTCTAGCCACTATCCATCGTTACAGTACTTGGGAATGGCTAGACAACATGAAATTGGTTACTTTATAATTAAAAACAGGCAATATCGAGGCATCCACGTGGTAGCTCATATTCCCAAGTACTGATCGAATTTAATCGATCATTTTACAATGTGGTCACCAAGTTAGGAGACTCTTAATAGTGGTACACATTGATTGGTTAAAGGTAATCAGGAGGAGAAAGCCGGTTGTAATATACCTCGTTTTTGTATATTAGTCCAGTACACAGTAAATACAAATAAGCTTGTCTGTTATTGCGCTTTCATGCTCCATATTTAAAATATGAATTATAGATAAAAAGCGGAAGCGTAAACAGTTTTTCTGATCAAAGTCAGTTTAAAATTTTGTGTAACATGAGCTAATACAAATGTCTCTTTCCCTAAGGGTGATATTTTGCATTCCTGTTATAAGCATGATCCTAACTAATATTCATTTCGGTTTGTATCTCATCTATTTTCAACTACCCGCTTACGCTTGTTGTTGGAATGTACTATACAGTTGTGGGTGAAATTTTGTAAGATTTCTTTTTGCACCTAAATAAGTGAGATAAAAACTACTTACTAAAAAGCCATTGACTTAAGGCAAAGGGAATCACTGTAAAGAAAGTGACTATTTTCACTGTGTCTGATTGTTTTATTTGAGTTATTTTATGATGATTGGGTGTATCCACTGTTGCTAGTTTGGTTCATTGTACGGAGTTACTTTTTGACCAGTTGCATATTACTTTCATGGTTTGATTTCCGTATTTGATTATTTAGTTGATGCAGTTGTGTGTTATTCTGTAATAGAAGATCGCTTTTTTTCATCTTTATTGCTGATTTCGACTTCGATTTTGTAAACTTCGTCTGTGTCATCTGATCTGCTTATATTTTTATTGTTGTAATCAGTTTTTGAATATCATTTAAACTATGAGCTAAGTAATTCTTTTACTGAATTTTAAGTATTTTCATTACGTTTCAAAGGGATGTTACTACTTCAACAGTATTTACACTGGTCACTATTTTCCGTTAGTCACATCATGGTACTCGGAACAGCAACAAGTTTTAGAGGTTTGACTCTCCAAGTATATTGAACTAGAAAAAGCTGAAATATTCATCCATCTTATGATTTGAATCGAATGAATATACATAAATTTAATGCGCATAATCCTCAATTTACTCAGTATGTATCGACTTTTTTTCACTATGGACCATTTTGAATTACTTGTTTTATTGTACTGAGACGATTTCCCGATGATGTCATTATATGAAGTCGTCATTCAATGAAAGCCTTATTTAATTACTGATTAAATTATGTAAGAAAAAACTAAGCTGTGACAAATCAAGGTTTGAACTGTATCGTTTTACGAGTAACCTAGATGTCTTTAAATGATATGTACTCATGGATTGGAATACTTTAATTTTGACTAGTGAGTCCTGTCATCTGAAAAACAGATGGCAGGATGACTTCAAGTATTACAAGTGTAGGATCTTTCAGCAAATTCAAGTCTATACTAACCATCCAAATAGGAAAACTTTAAACGAATGGGTTTATATCCCTTTGGTTTAAAGTTACGACAAATTTGTCTATTCATTTTCAGTGACTTTCTTATCACATTTTCAATGCTAAGAATAATTGAATGAAATGGCTCCGTGAACTGGAGGATATTTATACTGTATTGGTATTTTCGGTTCATCATTATTCAGTGATTTTTATGCGAGAGATCATACTGCTTGATGCCCCAAGGTTACCAGAATCTGAGTGGATAGTAATTATGGCACTCTTCTGTCTTTAACATGAATAGCATGGGAAAATCAATGGAAGAGTTTTAGTACTAGTAATAGTCTACGCTACCTGATTGGAGTCTTCAAAATATCGGAAATAAGTAGTTGGCAACATGATAGAACATGACCCAAAATTGATCACGGCGTAGTTACGTTCATCCTATATCATTTCAAAGTTCGGGACATTTTATTTTCCGACTAAAAAGAAAAGAATAAAACAGTTTCACCGCAAATAACTGTCTTTTTGACGAATTCATTTTCACGATTATATATTCTTAAACATACAATTTGAACGATAGAAAAAATTTTGATCCAAGTCAATGTAACGAAAAAAACATATGAAAAAAGGGAGTTAGGAGATTTTACACAAAGTTTGGGGGGGGGGGGGCTGGGGGACAGTCTAAAAATGCTTAGGAAGTTGGCTAATAGAAAAGGAATAATGTAATACAAAAAAATTCCTCCTAGAAAAATAAACAAGCATATGATGATTATTTGACTTTCTGAGATAGCCTTAGTTTGACAACTAGTATTTATACTGGGTGATGATTGAAAGCGAAATGAAAATTTGGACCGCGACCGGATTCGAACCAGCGAACACCGAGTTTCCAGCCCGATGCTCTACCAACTACCGGAAACCCGGTGATCGCTTGTTCGAATCCGGTCGCGGTCCAAATTTTCATTTAACCTTCAATCACCACTCAGTATAAACATATGATGACATATTTAAGTTCATGGTTAGGAAAGTCACTGAACTCATTTCTTATGAACGCAGCAGAGACTTGGAAATGTACCACTTCCTCAACTGTGCAAAAACACTTTAACTTTACTCCTTTTGGGCAAACTTTGTAGAGGTCTATGAACGACATTGTTTTGGAGATTTTCACCTTTCAACACCCAAACTCAGTTATGTTCGTGAGCTTCTTTGGCAAGTTAGTGCATGATACTTTCAATGTATTTACCTTGATACGAGGAGTTTCACCTGTAAGTACACATTGATGGGACTGAATACATCAACGTTTCTTCATACACTGACTGATCAGCTGCTGGTCGATGATGATTCGATGACTTATAGCGTAGGCTTTTCTATCCACGGATTTCAACAAACGTTTACGTAGTATATCTTCCGTGGTGTCACCTTTGAATTTATGGTTCATTAGAAGAATTCTCCTCGAAGTTTGTTATGCTTGTTGTGTAACTTTACTTTCGTTGATATTCTTATCTTGAATCTGGGTGAATAAACATTCTTTAGCAGTATTTCAGGGGGCGCTCCTTATTACTAATCGATTTCAGTAGAGAGAACAGAAAAAAATCCTTTCACAATTGGGTATGCGTCAACTGTGTCGGTACTCTGATACCATCAGTGACTTGATTCCCATTCATCACTTCGAAAGACATTGTATTTCCTTATTGTTCTATTTCAAAATGATTTTTTGCTGGCATGACTCAAAGTTCTTTTAACCATTATTTAATTTAGAGGTAATATTCATCACGGAATGATATCAGTCGGGGAACCATTGAAAATCTGGGAGCACTGGACAGCTGTTTCGTCCTAGTACAGGACTTGTCGGCAGTACGTGCCCACGACCCGGTTAGGGATGGAACTCAGGACCTCCAGGTTTCACGGCGAACGCATTAACCATTCAGCGACTGGGTAGGTTTTCAATGGTTCACAATTTCCAACTTCTGTGAATTCACGATATAGTGCGACTATTACCCAAGATCTTCAGTTGTCATCCGCTTCGCTTGCGACTGGTTGACCCCACAGGTCACGGCTTCTCATTGGAGCTTCGTGATATTCATCTGGAAGCAAGTCACTAATGAACACTATACAGTAATGTATTTTTGAGATGAATGGGGACGAAACAGCTGTCCAGTGCTCCCAGATTTTCAATGAATCCGCAACTGATATCAGTCCATGATGAATACTTCTAAACTAAAAATCCCCATTCATCTCAAAAATGCATCATCTAATTCTCCTAACAGAAATAATGATAATGTGGTGCATATTTTGGTGCATATAATGTATCAGTTTGGTATTTAAAATAAGTAAATAAAGTAACACTATCGTACATGGAAGTATTAGTCGTGAAACAATGTGGATAAAGTTGCAGGGATTACGACAAAAGCTTCTAAATGATGTGAACTACCTTGTCCTCAATGTAGAAGCTTGAAAAACTGTTTACACTTGCCGACAACTCACTAGATATCACCTTAAAAAATATTTTAAAGCGGAAAACTGGAAGAGATTAGCTGACATAGCGTTTATACAAGTCCGGTAAACTGTTCACCTGTCACTCTTTTGGTCAAGGAGAAGGAAAACATGTTACCGAAATATTCATTAGTTAAGTCTCTCATTGTACCTGTTTGATTTCACCAACTTTTAAGACATATTGAACAATCAGAAGTCGTAATTGTAAAAACAGATACCCGAGTAAATCTGTCTGTCTCTTCCCTTTTTCTTGATTTCTCTACTCCTTCTTATGTCACTTACTACTAACGAAAAGTGTTTAATGGGATGACATTCCAACTTTATATTGATTCGTCTTCATTTTGTGATTAAGTGTAGCACATAGTATTCTGTTTCTTATTTACATTTTTTTCCAATCAACTGGCAGCTAGTTGTATATCCCTTAAATCTTTTGCCTCTTTTTTAGATTTACCGTTGAAACAAGTGTTTTCTTTAAGCACTAAATAGGCGAAATTCCAATAAGCACATCTAACAGTTTCCCAGGCATTTTATTAAGTTTCTGAACATTTTTATCGCTCTATAGTTTGAACTATGTGATATGGTTTCTTCCAACTATTGTATTGACCTAGTTAGTTACTTTGGCTTTTTGAAACAGTTGTTAATCGGTTCACTGAATAAACAAGCAAGAGTGTATGAGTCATATTCATAAATTTGCAGAGAAGCAATAAAGTTAGGCAGTACAAACAACTGTTCTCTCTATCTGTTTCACTCGTTGATGACTCTAACTTAGCATAATGATGTTTTACTAGGGCAAAAAACACTTATCCATTCAATATTCAATTGCAAATTGAATTTTTCTTTTGCTTTTTATTTTCAACCGTTTGTTTTTTCTCTTTCTATGGAAAATAACAAAAAATTAGCATAAAAAATGAATGATAAGATTTGAACAGTCATATTGTTGTTAAAATTGGTAAAAGTCTACGAAAAATGTTGTGTTAGTCTCCTTCGTATTTTATTTATATTCGTCTTGTTTACGATACGGTTTTAACAAAAATGATAATAAACTATCTTTAGTTTTCACCACTTGAGTAATTTTTCAGACAGATAGTTTTGCTTGGTAGATTGTTTATGTTTATTTTCCACTGTGTGTGGATAACATTTAGTTGATTGTTCAAAATCCTCTATCGGTTATCTACTTACCGGTATAAAATGTCAGACAGAGGTTTAGTGATATGGAGGTTTTAGTCAAGAGAAGTTTAATGAAACAGATGATATTGTTTGAGAAAATACATCTGATAGTGCTAAAAATACTAAACCTTACGAAATGGTTTCCTCAGCAGTGCTTACTCATGACTCTACCAGGAATTGAACATTGGACATTGAGGTTCCGCAGCCAGCACGTCACCACTGAGTCACTGGGTCAAAATCCAGTGATTAATATTTCCTACTTCTGTCAGTTCACAGTATAGCATGACCTCCATCCAATACCGTCGTTGACAAACTTTCCACATGTTAGACTTGGTTTGCCCCTCTGGTCACGACTTCTCATTGGAACTTCGAGAATCACCTCTCGAAGCTAGTCACCAATGAAGATCCTGGGTTCGATCTCTAGAGAAGTAAGGTCATGGGTGCACACTGCTGGAGATTTCCATACAATGACGAAACAGCTATGTAGTGCTCCCAGGTTTTCAATGTTTCTGTATGATGAATATCAACCTGGAATCAATAAATCCCCAAAAATCACAAAATGGTATCCATCTGCAAATAGTCTCTCACTCTGCACCGTTCTTGCTTTTTGTATCTCTACCTATCTATTGTGTATTCGTTTTGCCCGATTCCTCATCGGTTTGCTGTTACCACTTGTGACTTTGCTGTATATGGTACTTATATGGATTCTTATAAGTAGCTCTCAATATATTAGTGTTTATTCATCTGCAGTACATACCTATGTGTATTACTATTATATTATTTGTCCCTTGGGTTCCTAGTGGAACATAGGGCTTCAGAAGCACGCCTCCATTCCACTCTGTTCTCTGCAAACTTTTGAACCTGGCTCCATGACAGTCCAGAAGCTCTCATTTCTTCCTCGCACGATCTCCTCCATATCACCCTCGGTACCCACGAGCAACTCATCGTTTTCCATCTGGGTTCCACTCGAGGGCCTGGTCTGGCGCATGATGTCCCCGAATGGTCTTCTCAGTGCATGCCCAATCCATCTCCACTTCCTTCTGCATATTTGTTGAGTGATAGGCTCTTGGTTGGTTCGTCGCCAGCCAGCCAGAGTTCCTTGTTGCTTATTCTTTCTGGCCTTCTGATCTGATCTTCAGTAACGAGCCAGCGTAAGCGGTTGATGATGAATGTCCGTAGTTTGTTGGAAATCCCTTTCGTAACGCGCCAAGTTTCTGAATCATATAAAAGCACTGACTTGACGTTAGTGTTGAAAATCCGGATCTCGTTCATGCTTTTTGCTGAGTGCAGATCTCCAAACTGTTTTCAGGTTAATGAACGCCTGTCTTCCTGTCTTTCCGATTCTGGCTTTGACACCCTCGTCTTTTCCGCCTATAGTTGAAACAGTGTTGCCTAGATAGGTGAAAGAGGCTACTTCCTTTAAGTTCCTCCCATTAATGGTGATTGGAGCTTGTTGTTGTTGCTGGTGTTGGTTGGGTATCTTCATCACCTCTGTCTTTTCTACGTTCACTTGAAGTTCCGTCTTCGCTGCCTCTTCTGTCAACCTGTTACTTTTTGCCTGTAGATCTTCAAGTTTGTGTGACATTAGACATAAGTCATCGGCGAAACCCAAATCTTGAAATGATGGAGAATATTTTTAGCTCAGGTGGACGGTCTTGGTTGTATTGTGTTCTCTGAGCTGGGTTGTTTGATTAATCAAACAACCCTCTTCTCGCTTCTCACTGTTTGTTGCATGATCCGGTCGGGTCGACCACAATCAGGAACATCGTGGGTGATAGTATACAGCCTTGTTTTACTTTTGTCTTCACTTCGAAGGCATCACTGAGCTTCCCATTGTGAATTACTTGGCATGTGGCGTCTTCATATAGTTACTGAATGAGGTTGATAAAGGTTTGTGGTATTCCGTAGTGTTGAAGCAACTGCCAAACTACTTGTCGGTCGACACTGTCAAAGGCCTTTTGAAAGTCGATGAAGTTGAGGTAGAGAGTTTGCTGCCATTGTATACTCTGTTCTCTGATGATGCGAAGCGTAGCAATTTGGCCCGCACATGATGTGTACTTCCTGAATCCAGCCAGGCTGTTCCGGTCGTAGTTTTCAATCCAACGCATACTTTAGTCTCTCCAGGATGATGTGGCTTAATATTTTGCTTGGGGTGGACAGGAGCATGATTTCGCTCCAGTTCTTGCAAAGGCTTAGGTCGCCCTTCTTCGGGAGTTTGATAAGGTAGCCTTTGTTTCAATCTGCAGGTACCTTCCCTTCCTTCCAGACCTCATACTTATGTGTATCGCCTTTCAATCATAACTCGTACAACCCATGTTTTGCATATATTTTCTTGTTATCTGTTATTACTTATATCATACACCTTGCATTCTGATAAATGAAAAACAACCCTCAATAACTCATACTGTATTTAAGTGGATCAGTGATTTAAAAAATCAGGATTGTTATTTGCTGTGCGTATGTGCTTGTTGTCTGTAGGCTTATTTAATTAGTGATTATCGTGCGAATCGGTCTGTTGTAAGTTATTACAATACTGAGAATATAAGCCTTAGCAGTTTATTTATAGTTTATCTTCTTCATCGTACAAACTGTGTGCACATTTAATTCATGATAATTGACTGTTTGCCTTCTTTGCTAATCATTGCTACAATTAGTCGAAGGAATTAAATTATTCTGAGGTTTTCTTTCGAATCACTATGTAATTGAAATAAAAGCTTTTAGTGATTTAGCCAACGATGGAAGGTGATCAACAGGAGATCGATAACTTGAGATTTTAGCGCTTCTAAATAGGATTGGTACTTTGAGCACTGAGCTGTTTATTTGATTTTTCATGGGATATTACTTTAGTTTTCAATATATCTTAATACCTTACCAACTGTCTTCAGATTGTTTATAGCACTCAGGACTAGACGATATGTAATCGGTTGCTCTGCAGTTACAAATCAGTGCATCCTATCCAGTCCTAAAAAAGGTCAGTAGCGGTCTAAATAGCTAGCTCACTGGCGAATTCGCTGACTGCAATACTGAGTGACGCGGGTTTGATTCTCATGGGGGACAACAGTTCCTTCGAAGTTGCATACAAGGCTTCCTGGTGTTTGCTTCCAACCAACTAACACGCATTATAGGTGTGCCACAATGATGATCCTCCTAGTTTGATGATCACATTGCAAAAACAACCGACTGATAGAATTCGGTCAGCCCTCAGGACCAGACGGCATGTAATTGGTTACCCTCCAGTAGTCAACCAATCTACTGTTTACCTTCGCTTAGAATGA